TGGTCCAGGATATCAGCTCTAATGCGCTGTCTTATCTAGGATCGGACTTGAGCCGAACATATCCTTTATGACGGATGACGGCATTGCTTGGGAGCTCCTTCATATCCCGGAGATCCAATGGATTGGACACCAGTACAGTCCAGAAAGTGTTGTCTAGATACTAACTTCAGCGTTATTTTCCTAACTCATTCCGTGGGCACACCTGGCGCTGGCTCAGAACCAACAAGCCTTTTTTAGAGCCATATTCAAACCTCCAGATATTTTGTAAGCTCTTGTACACGTTGTCTGAGTAATTATTTATGTATCTCTTTGATTTTAATACCCGTCTGAATTTACCACATTTTGATTTTCAATATCTAATTTTCTTCTGCCAACTAAAAATCATTAATAACCGTACTTTCTGTTTGGATTATTGGAGGATTGCAAATTGGCGTATTAGTGTGTTACGTAAAAGTCGTCCACTTCTTCGCTCAGAAAGTGCTAAATTCGCCCCTGTATGAAGCCCAATTCATTATGCATTATCTTCGGTGTAACGTATAAAATTAACGGCAAAGTGTGATAGTATAAACTGATGAAATGTAAATATTCATTACCTTACCCATTACGAGCTAATTGCACCATCAATGTTTTGTTACACGCTTTAGTTTTCTGTTGTTTCATTTACACTATAATGCCTTTACCCAGTTCTATGCGACGCGACGTAGTTAGGCTCATTGTCGGTGTATTTCAATGCTGCTAAAAGCAGCAGTTGCGGCATGAAGCTTGTAATAGCTTTTTTCTTATAGATATACGAGTACTTAAAAGTCTAGTCACTAGGTCATATGAGATAGACAGGCATTAGCTTAATTGGTTGTTGTGGTTAAGAATGCCGAGATTCTGATCCAAAATGCGATTTAGGATGTGAGAGCGAGGCAGTTGCATGCTTCTTTCGGTTAATGGCATCTGGAGAGGGCCCCCATACTGAGGAGCGTAGTCTATTGGAAGGGGTCTATTTGAAGACTAAGAAATACGAGTATAGGCATCTTATGCTCAAACCAGATTTTTTTTTCGACAGTATTGCTCTGCCGGACCTTCCTGCTCGAAGTGTGAGATTCGCCAGAAATGGCATACTCACTGAAATCCCTCAACCATTCGCCACACATCCGACCACGGTCATGCTTGCAGCATTTCTTCATAGTGAGTAGCATTGCGCTAGGTTCTCATACCGAAGGTATTAATCATCTATTCTTTATCGCACACATACATACCTTTATACCTATGTACATGTACATCCGAGCAAAAACAGAAACCAACTATTAGTTCCTCGGTCTATTTTGTTCTCCCGTACCTTACTCAGCACCATCCACTATTGGTTGAATATCAACCCCTTCCCCCCCTGTCCCCTGGCGTATTTGCGTGGGAAAATTGTCAGCAGTGAGTATCCTCCTCTTCATTGCAATATACACAATTAGGTAGGTGTCGAAACAACCATGTCCTGTGGGGAATTGTGCGGTATAGTAATCTATCCACACCGCTCCCTTGTCCATGCATGTTTTTGATTAGCTTTTTGGTCCATAAAACCATGGCCAGTCGCATCCCATCTCTCGTGGCAACTAACCAAAAGCGCCTCTCTTTCGTTGCTTGTAGCTCCGACAACTTTCTTATAGAGCGTACGTCTCTCCGCTGCCTGCAAATCAATTGGCAGGATACCAGCTACCACCAGCAGTGCATCATCGACAGTCGAGTTGCTGGTGGTGACTAGTGCCCTCCGATAGATTTGCTAGCTGAGTAAAGATGTGCGCTCTACAATGAGGAAGCTAGAGCTAAAAAGCAGCAAAAAAGAGCCAGTTTTTATTATATGGCAAAACAGTTGGGGTGCATGTGGGTTCTTCTGATCGATTACTCCAGGCCTCTCCAACTCGAGCACTTGGTGCTGGTGCGCTCCGTTGCTGAACCCAGCGGCACCGGTGCCGTTCCCCCTCCACCTCGACCGCACAGCCGTCGCGACAGAGAGAAACATATTAGCCGACTGTCTCTAGGGCGCGGGCCATTTCTTAATAAGACAAGGCAAAGTGGACAGGTTTTTTAGCATCTTAACGTGCATCTTTGTTTAAACGATATCATTCAGTCCTGCATGGAAGGAGCCTATTTTTTGTAAATACTGATGGAAAAGCAAAATGTTTAATTTGTCACACGGTATTGAGGTCAGCCCCAGTTCTGAAGAGGTAATTATTGATTTGGTCGTAGTTCATTATTATTAATGCTCTCGTAAGGCAAATTATATTGTTGCTTTGAAAATCGCAAAAACTGACAGACCGTTTACTGACGGTGCACTTGTCAAAGAATGCTTAACGGAGTGTGCAGAAATATTGTGCCCATCTCCTGTAAGCAACTCAGATACAATTAGGATGTCCGAGCTAACAGTTTCTCGTCGGATACTTGAACTTGGTGCAGATTTAAAAGAACAACTGCGGAAAATGTGTCCATTTTGTGCAGTATTCTATAACTCTCGATGAAATTAAAGATATTTCTGACACAGCATAATGAGCTGTTTTTGTTAGAGATGTCGAAATAGTCTTTACTATCACCGACGAACTACTAGACGTTATCTCGCTCAAGGATACAATGGCCAGAGAAGATATGTTTGATGCTGTAGAATACACAATGACTGAATGGGTATACTACTCTAAAGTTTACGTAGTGTTGCTACTGATGGAGCGCCAGCAATGTTATCGGAAGCACAAGGCTTTACTGGGCGAATGAAAATAGAAGTACGCGACGCTGGGCTACCTCCGATATCACCGGTACACTGCATATTACATTAGGGACAACTATGTGCAAAAACTCTGCGTAATTTCAAATCTATTATCGATGCAGTAATAACATGTGTCAATTTCTGCAGAAAGCAAGGTCTCAACCACGGCAGTTTGAAGTATTTTTAAAAGACCTGGAAGCAACTTACGGTAACATACCCTTTTATTGTGTTACGCGCTGGTTAAGCTGCGCAAAAGTGCTAAAGATTTTTTTTAAATCATTGACGACGTTGAGATGTTTATAAAAATGAGATTTTTACGACGCCATCTTAAGTGCTTTTCGAAACAGAACCGCCGTAGTTCCAAATGGAGCTGATTAAGCTTCAATGCGATACGATCCTTAAGGATAGATACTACCACTACAATAGTAATTTAATTTTGTTTTATCAAGGTGTTAAGCAGCAAGATTTTCCCAAAATTCTTGCACTGGCCTTGGACACTTGCTACATGTTCGGTACAACGCACTTCTGCGAGCAGATGTTTTCTTTAATGAATTTGAACAAAACTAAAAACAGGTCTTTGTCTGATGTGTCCTTAAAGGCGACACTCAGAATTTCCACTGCTCAAGGCACTGTACCAAATCTTAGAATAAAAGTGTTTACGTCGAAATTATGAACATTATTGTATCACCCGCGCGTTGACTCGATCAGACCGATACGAATGTCACTCGACTCATTTTCCGTTGGGGCTGGGAGCCGGTGAAATTAAACCTTATTGCAGATTTTACTAAACTTAGTAATAATATCTAGTTTCAAAGTAAATGAACAAAAAGGGCTGGGTATGCCGATGAAAGTACCTGTCATATCGACTTGAAGATACAACGTGACGGTAGGACTTTACCATAACCTATACGTATATCAACGGTCATTACGTTTCATATTCATTTTACATATACTTTCAAACATCAAGAAGCCTGGTGTCAAACTGACAGACTCAAATGAGCTTTTAAATGCAAGCATGAAGCATACAAACAGGATGTGTTATTTTGATCTATTTGAATTGCCTGCTATAGCTTTCAGTCGGTACGACAGAAACCTCTGGCGGAAATTAGTTTGTCATACAATTTTTTTCCAAATGAGCCTAAAATTACCATCAAACCTTGTAAGCTTCATTGGATTCGGTGAGGACGGTGAAATTCTCTTGTCACGCTGTATCTTTAAGTCGGTATGACAGGTACTTCTGGCAGGTTGCGCCCCGTCTTACTGAGCTGTTCTTGTTCATTTACTTAAAAACTACATATTATTACCAAATTTAGTTGAATCCGCGATGAAGGTATACTCAGTGCCACCAGCTCCCGGGTCATTTCTATTCGCAGGGTGCTACGGTTAACACAACACCTTCCTCGAGATGCATATGACGCTGTCTACTTCCTCCCCCACCTTCACGGAGTCACCCCGCAGCACTGTGCTGCGAGCGGTGCTCGGCGCTGCACTGGTGGCACCCGAGTTGGAGGGGCCTCTATTACTCGGATGTACTAGAACGGTTGACTTCCAGAGACTTGACGCTCAACGATAAGCTCACTGCTGACAGCTCTGCTAGACATGCAGCTGAGGGGAAATGGGTTGATATTCGACCAATAGCTTCTGTTTGCTGGCTTGTAACATACAGGTATATATGCACGACGATAGGAATAGGATGGACTAGAACCTTCGATATGAATATTTAATAGAGACCGACCGAAGTTTCGGTTTCGGATTCGGTTTCGGCCATGTTTCGGCCAAAAAACCGGTTTCGGTCGAAGTTCCGGTTTCGGCAGCAAATTGGCCGAAACTTTCGGCTTGGCCGAAACATACGATCGTAAGGTCTCGGGATATGTCCGGTTGTAGTCGGGCGATCGCTTCGTGTCCGTACGCGTTTCATCACGTCACTTGATCTTCGCCGACAAGCTGGTCACGCATTTATTACACTTATTAGGTAGTGTGCGTATTAAATAAAGGTAAGTATTTAGTAATTATGTATTCTGGATATACTATATTATAATTATTGATAATTTCTATTTTGAAATAAGAGGGAGAGTAATAAATCATCAGTTTACACCAGGTTCTGCAGTAGGTCATACGCGTAGAATATTACACAATTATCTCAGTAACAGCAAAGAAAAGCTCATAAAACTTTACTGTAATTAATGAATAATTACAATGAAGATCAATAATATTAGTTCAATTTATATTTGATTATCGAGTGAAAACTGAAAATTATCTGTTTCAGATAGAAATGTCTCAAAGAGAAAGAAATCCTATTTGGCAGTTTTTTGAAAAGAGCACAAATGATTTATCTAAGGCAGTTTGTAAAATCTGCAAAAAGTCGCTCTCATTAGGAAGTCAAGAACCCAAAAACAGACACTATATGGAGTGAAGCAGCATTTAAGTAAGTTCCATGGCACAGAACACAGACAAGTTTTAAAGCGGCAGTCTGAATTAGAGAACATAAAAAATGAACTAAACATACAAAAACGAACTAAAGTCTCTCTAGCGGTTTTAGAAACTGATAAGGGTAATCAACCTACCCTGGTCCAGTCGACCATTCCGAGTTTGGCTAGACCTAAATGTGTACAATGGCCAGATGATCATGAAATTTCACGGAGAATAGACAAAGCGATTATGGATTTGATGATTGTCGATATGTTGCCGTGATAATGCCGCAAATATGGCATGTGCAATGCGGACAGGACACTATGAGTCTCTTGGCTGTGTATCGCATACGCTGCAATTAGTGATCAAGCAATCGTTATTTGCTGATGAAGACACCACAGAAATTATAAAAAAATGTCGGAAGATAGTAGGCCATTTCCACCACAGTGAACCAGCAACAAGAAAATTGAAAGAATGCCAAATCCAATGCGGGCTGCCAGAACATGCTCTGGTTCAAAGTATTGATATAAGATGGAACAGTACCTATTTGATGTTTCAGAGGCTGTTAGAGCAAAAAAATGCTATAAACCTCTACACTGTTCAGCATGGTAAAATAGATACCCTTTGTCCCACCAAATGGAAAATTATGAAGCGACTCATCGAAGTATTGAAGTTCTTTTACGAAGCCACCCTTGATTTATCATTGAATGACGCTTGTATTTCTATAATCATACCTCTAATATCGCTACTCAATCGGAAATTACAAGCTCGAATGGAAAACGAAGATGAGGGTATGACAATGACGAAAAATCGGTTATATGAGACAATGAACCAAAGAATGTCCCTCTTGAAAGAGCATCCATCGTTAATTGCAGCAACATTGCTGGACCCACGTTTCAAATCGAAGTATCTAACTCCCAATGCTGTTGACATCGGAATCACAGAAATTGTTTCTTTTTTGATCAGATGTAGTAGCGACAGCGCGGTGAACAGAAATGCTATTCATTCTTCTTCTTCTGCAGAACCAGTGCTGGTTGAATCCAATATTCAGAAACAAGACGAAAGTCTTTGGGATACCCATGACGATAACCCCGGCGGTTCACCATGTGATAATAATGGATATGATGGAACTTCTATACTAAAACAAACAATCGAGTGTCGGAGCCGCGACTACAGCGGAATGCCGACATATTTTCTTATTGGAACTTCAGCCCCTACCCGACGTTGAGGAAAGCGGTGTTGAAATACCTGTCTGCACCACCGACCAGTATCCCCAGCGAGCAAATGTTCAGTGCTGCTGGGCAAATATATGCAGATCGGCGAAGCAATTTGCTAGGAGAAAATGCGGAAAAACTACTTTTTTATCATATAATATAAGGCTTTTTGGTTATGTTTACTAGTTTATTGTCAATTTCTATATAGAAAATCTATTTTGAGTTAAAAACTTTTAGTTGTTTTGGTGATGTTTATGGAAGTTACAGGACATACATGTTTGTTTTCATATAAGTGCAATGTAATAGATAATAGATATTTATTTATGATTCGTTTTGTTATATTATTCTAGTATTTCAACTACCAACATGTTAATGGAATACATTCTTTTATTTCAAAAATTAACTTTTGTGTTTTTTCAAGTACCTAACCTTACTGAACAAGAAAAACATACATTATGGGAGATACGTTTTCAAAGACCTTTAATAACTTCGTAAACCTCTAAAATCGAAGAATCATTTACATCCTCATTCTTTTTTTTGATACTCCAACTACCACGAAGGCCTAAGGCCTAAACACCCATGGGGTACTGTGGGGCTACAGGGCGATACAGGGGTCAGGGGGAACGCCACACGGACTCTGGCGAGGGAACACGTGTGCATGCAACATGCACACATTCTGGCCCCGCCTACGAAATCCGTCGGGTGGTACCTCCGCGTTCGACAGTCAGATACCGTCTACCACCTACGGACAATCACAACATCCATAGAAAAGAGAAAAATTTCTCCTGGGACGGGATTCCAACCCGCACAGCGCACGGCGACTAATCAGGAGACCGAAGAGTCTACTACTGCGGCCACCGCTGCTGCCCATAAGTCAAAGGGAAGTTTCTGTTTCGGTTTCGGCCGAAACCAGGACGGAAGCCGAAGGTTCGGTTCCGGTTTCGGTTTCGGCTGAACATCAAGATTCGGTCGGTCACTAATATTTAACGAAACGCTACCCACCCTGAAAAATGATATAAACATTACGGTGGTGGTATGTTAACGATTCAAGGGTCTTAGTGAATATACCGCATACCTGAGTAGCTGTAAAAGCAGATATAAAAAGGTTAGTCCCAGGAAGGGCATCAAATGGTGAATGAGTGGCAACAATGATCTGGCGCTGGCCTAACTGAGAACGAAATATGACCTATTAATATACTAAGTGACATATAAATCCGAACACCCAGTTTAAATGGTTTTATTTTAATAAAAGTTGGTGAATGTATTTATCTTACTGTAAATAACAAGTGAAAAATTTTTCAGCCTTATCAGTTGGACATTCCGGTTTTTATACTGCTTTTTTTTAATTCACTAACGCTCTAAAAATGAATATTTGAGCCGCAGTAAAGAATCAACGTTGGCGGATTTTGGTTCTTGACATCCTTTACGATCGGTTACGATGCCTAGAGTACGGAGACATGTACGACTTCGTCAACTTAGTGAGTTTGATAGGGGCCGTATAGTGGGACTTCGGGAAGCTGGACTTTCTTTTCGGGCAGTTGCAGTTAGAGTGCAAAGAAGTGTAGACACTGTGGTTAGGTGTTGTCAGGCATGGCTTCGAGAAGGCCGTACGCAAAGAGCAAGGGGCACTGGACGCCACCGTAGAACAACAGACCGTGAAGATCGCCGCCTAAGATTATTGGCCTTAAGGGACCGTTTCTACACTACCAGGTCCATTGCCAATGAATGGTTTGCAGAACACGGAAGACCTATTGGCATGCGAAGTGTTTTCCGACGAATGAGAAGTTTTGGCTTGTTTTCATACCGGCCACACTGGGTCCTCCCTTTAACTCGAGAACACCGACGTAATCGCCTTGAGTGGTGCAGACAACGGTCACTCTGGGATCAGAAATGGAACAGTATTGTCTTTAGTGACGAGTTTCGATTTTGTTTAGGCATGCACGATGGTCGTGCCAGGGTTAGAGGGCGACGTGGTGAAAGGAGGAATCCACAGTTTTTTGTTGAAAGACATGTTCATCACACTGTTGAAGTTATGGTTTGGGGTGCTATAGCTTATGGTTCCAGGTCACCTTTAATCTTCATCAGAGGTAACATGAACACGCAGCGTTATATCCACGAAGTTCTAGTACCCCATCTTTTACCCTATCTTGACACCCTGGCAGATCCAACTTTCCAACAAGATAATGCCCGACCACATGTTGCAAGAGTCACAATAGACTTCTTTCAACATAATGATGTCACATTGTTACCATGGCCACCAAGATCTCCCGACTTATCCCCAATTGAGCACGTGTGGGATATGATGGGTAGGAGATTGCTCAATTTGCAACGTCCTCCTCAGACTCTAGAAGCACTTCGAGAGGAGTTGGTGGTTGCCTGCAATGAGATACCACACGAGGACATTGACCACCGGATCAGAAGCATGCCTAGGCGCGTTGGAGAGTGCGTAGCACATCAGGGTGCATCCACACATTATTAAAGGTCAAAGGGCTTTAAAGCAGTGCAATCATTTTGAAATTTCTATCATTTACTTATTATGCTTAATTAACTACTTATACAAAATTTTATTAAAATAAAACCATTTAAACTGGGTGTTCGGATTTATATGTCACTTAGTATAGTTTAAAGGAAGTATAGAGCCAGTAACGTCACTCTGGTTAATATTGGTCAGATGAGTGGATTTCACGCACACGCACGGCAGTACATGTTTTCAGAACACCAAGGAATCCAGAGGGTCGGTTCGGGTTTTCAGCGCGGTTAAGCTGCGTTCACCTATGCATTGTTCAGCAAGTGCTCAACTACATTATGGATCACACGTTCTGTATGAGAATGGCTGTTTTGAGTCATGACAAGGCTTTTAAAATAACTTTAGTGAAAAAGCTACGAGGTCCTCATTCCAATTGTTCGAAAGTTACTGCTCAGATGAGATGCAATGGCAATGTGAACACCTAAACTGCTTTAACCAATGAACGCGCAGAAACAAGGCAAAATTGGGAGGCGTCAAAAAACTTAATTTTTTTAACGTTTCCGGAGTTAATGATTATTTTTTGACCTAGTACATGCTCATGGGAGCAACACCCAGAAATGCTTAGATTTCTTTTTTGATATTTTCCTACGTTCTCGTCATTTCGAGCCATAGTAAGAATATCGGTTGTTCAAAAATTCGGAAATCATGCAAATAGTTGCATATATCGCTAACACCGCTCACAATTTTTGTAAAGATGAAATGTCTCTGAGCCGTATTTGATCAATGTGACTGTAATATTTAGCAAAATTCGATTCTCTTTTTCTATTTATAGGAAGAGTGTACCCCTGAGTGTAGATACCAATGTGTGAGGAATACTGAGGCAACCTGTTTGGTTTTACATTAATTATTCGGTTCCCATATAATTTTTGAAAAATAGTTGAAATTCTGACGTTTCGCAAAATTGTGTGGTTATCAACAAAGTAATTGATTACATCATTGAAAAACACATAGTTATCTGTGGATATAGTAACGCCTGCGATTATGCCCCATTAAGCTATCAAACGAAAATATCGCACTGAGAGTCCTTGTGAAAATGTGTGAAAATTTTACATTGACACAATTTAGTCCGAATGACGACAGGATTACATTATATAGTCTTGTTGATGCATGGTACGTCACGAGTCGTTTCTTTTACTAAATTATTCCTTGTTTACAACAGACAATTTCTGACTATAAGAGTCTATATTCAGTCATGAATACAAATTAGCGATATGATGTTGCCTGGAGCTGCTCTGATCTGGTTTGCTATATGTGATCCTTCGGGACCCGATGAGTACGAACCTGTACGGAGTACCCTTCAACCAACTGCGGCTCGACGCCGTGGAATCTCT